GGGATACTGTGTGGTTTAAAATCAGGAAGGGAGTATATCAGGGTTGTAACCTTTCACTGTACTTGTTCAGTCTGTATGCTGAGCAAATAATCTGAGAAGCTAGACTGTATGAAGAAGAGTATGTCATCAGACTGGAGGAAGACTCATTAACAACCTGTGATATGTGGGCGATGCAACTTTGGGAAAGTGAGGATGACTTGAAGCAGTTACTGATGAAGATTAAAGAGTACAGTCTGTGGTATGGATTACATCTCAACATGTTGTTGTTGTTGTTATTTTGCCATCGAGTTGGCCCGACTCATAGCCACCCCTCCTTGGGTTTCCAAGGCAGTATCACTATGGAAGTAGATTTTCCAACCTTTCTTCCACATCTCAACATGAGGAAAACAAAAATCCTCATAACTGGACCAATGAGCAGCGTCATGATAAATGGAGAAAAGATTGAAGTTGTCAAAGATTTCATTACTTGGTTCCACAGTCAACACCAATTGAAACAGCAGTCAAGAAATCAGACTGATTTGTACTTGGCAGATCTGCTGCAAAAGACCTCTTTAAATGCTGAAGAGCAGAGATATCTCCTTGAAGATTAAGGTGCACCTAACCCAAGCCCTGGTATTTTCAGTTGCCATATATGCATGTGAGAACTGGACAATGAATAAGGAAGACCAAGGAACACTTGATGCTTTTGAGTTGTGGTGTTGGCAAAGAATACTGAAAGTACCATGGACCATCAGAAAAACTAACAAATCTGTCCTGGAAGAAGTCCAGCCAGAATGCTCCTTGGAAGCAAGAATGACCAGACTTCATCTCACATATTTGGTCATGTTGTCAGAAGGGACCATTCCCTGGAGAAGAATATCATACTTGATAAAGTGGAGGGTCAACAAAAAAGGGGAGGGCCCTCAATGAAGTGGATTAACACAGTGGCTGCAATGATGGGCTCAGGTGTAGCAAGGATTGTGAGGCTGGCACAGGACCTGGCAGTGTTTTGTTCTGTTGTACATAGGGTCGCTATGAGTTGGTGCTGACTCGACAGCACTTAACAACAACTTTTAGTGCCATAGAGATGATTACTAATAGCAGATATTTCAAAGATAGAAGGGTGCAGCAAAGTTGAAGACCCTTGCAGAACCACCTGCTGGAACATAATTGGAAAGGAATCATGAGGTGGGACAGACTCTTGTCTGATTTGATTATGATGTCATAATGGCTACAATTTATTAATTTAAATGCTAATTGCCTGATATTAGCTTCAGTTTAGCAAAAACAAGTTTGCTTCTGAAATGTATGCACCTCCTGGTTTTTATATTTTGCTAGATTTCCCATAGAAAATTGGTCTGACTCAGTTGTCAAATGGATTTTTCTTGCTCAGATAATATTTTATGCTCTTTCGTAGCAAGCCATAATTTCACACCTTCAGTTTTTATCAAAATTATTTTCAACGTGGAGATATTTTTTCTGAACATTAAAAGTTTTTCACAGATTAAGTGGAGATTCAGTGACAGGTTTATAAATTATTTTACTTTTTACAAGGCTTTGAGTGTTAATGAATTCTTCCTGTTGCCTTAGTTTCTTTCTCTGTAATAAGGACAGTCATATTTTTAAATTACCTTGATTACTGGTTAAGGCAACTTAGCACCTGTCTAATGGTTAAATCTTTCAGAATAGGGCTTTAGAGTTTATATACTTTCTATTGTTTTTATACTGAAGGTGGAATGTGTGAAAATAAGGTCACATTAGCAGATAGGGTAAATCACACTCGTGTGTACATACGTTTAGTCAACAAGCATTCTGTGGACACCTGCTATATTTCAGACACTGTGCCAAGCACTAGGAATTCAGTGATGAAGATGACATTTTGCCCCTAACCTCGGGGAACTTTATAGGTGCTGTCTGCAGAGAATGCCATCTTGCCTTTGGCTTCTGCAAGGGCATTCTTTCACTCTTCAGTTCTAACTTTCTGTAGAAGTCTGAAGACATATCGCACTATATATTAATCTGTGTTGTTTTATAAAGAAATTTCTCCCTTATCTGTACATTATACATAAGTGCTATTGTGAAGTCTTTAATGTTGTTTTGTTAGGTGCCGACAAGTCAGTTCTGACTCCTGGTGACCCCATGCACAACAGAATGAAATTGCCCAGTACTGTGCCCTATACATAATCATTGCCCATTGTTGCAGTCACTGTGTCAATCTATCTCATTAAGGGTCTTCCTCTCCTTTACCAAGGATGCTGTCCTTCTCCCAGGAATGGTCCTCCCTGAAAGTATGTCCAAAGTATGTAAAACAAAGTCTTGCCATCTTCACTTCTAAGGAGTAGTCTGGCTGTACTTCTTCAATACAGAGTTCGTTCATACCAGCACCATAATTCAAATGTATCACTTCTTCTTGAATACCAAAGGATAAACATGGTAACTTAAATCAGTGCTTCTCATCCCCAATTGCATGTAAGAATAACCTGGAAAGCGTTTAAACTATCCTATACCTGCCCCCTTCCTCCATATTTCATTTGTCTGAAGTAAATCCAGACAGTTGGTTTAGGTGAATGGATGGATCAATGAAGTAATGGATGAATGAAAAATTCATAATATATAAATTTATACATATTATATATATATATATATTATATATATAATTCACATAAATATATAAATTCATAGTATATTTGAGCCAAGCAAACTGTAAGGGCAAGAGAAGTAAAATGAAGCCAGGGGTAATAAAAATCTACACTATACATGCCAAAAAATCCTAGATAGTACAAACAGCTAATAAACAAAAGGTTGGACATTGGAATGCATACAGAGCTTCCTTGGAAGAAAGGCCTGGTCATCTACTTCAGAAAAACTAGCCATTGAAAACTCTCTGAAGCACAGTTCTTCTACTCTGACACACATGGGGTCTCCATGAATTCAAAACAACTGACAGTAACTGGTTTTTAAAGCCTTGTAAGCTTATGAACCTGGACCAGATTTTGACTTTGTATCCTTTAGCACCTAAAACAAAGGGAAACATCATCAGATGTATAACCAATCAGTTGGTGTTCATTGGATTAAAAACATGTTGTTTGGAAAGGCCATCTTTTTCAGGACCAAAACTAACACAAAACCAAAAACCAAACTCATAGCTGTTGAGTCAATTCTGACTCATAGCAACCCCTCCTTGGGTTTCCAAGGCAGTATCTCCATGAAAGTAGATTGCCCACTCCAATAATGAGGTGCATGGCATTTTTAACAACCTAGATAGAAACACATTAATACTTTTCACAAGAGAGGTTGATGGCCTGATATGGAAGGTCTTTTGAGTGAACTGGATGCTATACAGGGTGAGACTCTAGACTCTAAAGAAAATCCCTGGTAGGTGCTCTTCCATATGTGCTACTTACTATAACCCAGGTCCACCCAGTGCCTTCAAGGCCCTGTATGATCTGAATCCTGCCTGCCCTTGTCATCCAACCACATCATCAGTCACTAGACCTTTGCCAACTTTGCTTTAACCATACTGGAAAACTCCAAGTCCCTTGAACTTATCAAGTTCATTACTGCTGCTCAGTCTTTGTATTTGTTGTTTCCTCTGCCTGAAACTCTTTGCTCAGATTATTGTATAACCGACTCTTTGTCATTCAGCTGTTGGGTCAAATGTCACCTTCTCAAAGAAGCCTTCTTTACCTCTTTATCCAAAGTCACCTCCCTCCCCTCTACCGATCATGTTCCCTGGTATTATTCTGTTTTACTTTGGCAAAGCACTTTTCACTATCTGACATTATCACAGTGATTTTTAATTGTTGTCTTTTCTACTGGATCAGTCTCTTATGTTTGCAGCTGCAGCCTCTCTGTGCCTAAAATAGTGTTTGGAACTGTAGGTGCTCCAAAAATATTAGTTGAATGAACTAATATTTTCATAAGTACATGTTCCTATGCAGTTATGCTATATTTTTTATTAAGCATAGAGTCAGACTCTTTCACAATCAAGTTGGAAATAATGTTGGCATTCTCTCATTAAAGGGAAGGACACATGGACCAGGATACCTGACCAAACCAAAGGCCACCTCTCATCTTATGGTTGCTTTGAAGACCACATTTTCGCAAGGCTTAGTTACTCTCTTCCTCTTTAATTTCACAAGCAGTGGCCTGACACTGTGCTGTTCTAATGGTGGTTATTTTCCCTGATTTTTGGTTTACAGTCAGTTGTCTATGTTTAAACTCTTGGTCCTAAGCAAACTTACATAAAGCTCCAATTCTTTCTGTGTGTCTTAGGCAAGCTTTGTAACTTTTCTGAACCTTGGTTTCTACATTTGTAAAGTAATGTTACAATAATAGTAACTATTACTATTAATAATGGTAGTAATAATAATAATAGCTACTTCATAAGGGTGTTTTAATGATGAAAGAAAATAATTTTTGGAAGCACTTAGCATGAAACCAAGCATAGAAAACACACTCAGTAGATGGTATCTGTAACAATATTAATAAAAAATGTCAATTTTAATATTAATTTTTTAGTTATTGTTATCCTTATTATGACTCCCTACTTGAAGTTGATCACCAGGAATCTATATTATTGGTTTCCTGAATATATATGCCATTCTGACTTGAATTAACAAAAAGTATGCCTCTCACTCACTGCCATCAAGTCAGATCCAACTCATAGGGACCCCTCCTTGGGTTTCCGAGGTGGTATCGCTACGGAAGTAGATTGCCCAACCTTCATTCTGAGGAGTGGCTGGTGGGTTTGAACCTCCAGCCTTCTGGTTAGCAGTCATATGCCTTAGGCAATATGCCTAAACACTCAATAAACACCTAAGTCATTTTAGTGTATCAGTTCCCAGTGTGTGTGTGTGTGTGTGTGTGTGTGTATTTCCCTAAAGAAGCAATTCTCCTAATGCCATGACCTCTTTTATCTTTTCTATGCCTTTACTAACTCGCAATGGATGCAGAAGAGAAGGCCAAAAAGGAAGCAGAGGAAAAGGCTCGCCTGGCCGCAGAGGAGAAGCAAAAGGAAATGGAAGCTAAGAGCCAGGCTGAAGAAGGCGCAACTGGCAAAGCTGAGAAAAAGACATCTGGGGAAGTGAAGAATCAAGTCAATGGAACACGCACAAGCAAAAGTGACAACGCTCATGGGAAAAATTCCAAAGCTGAGAAGTCATCTGGAGAAAAGCAGCAGAATGGTGAGTTATCAGTCACCTTCAGAGGAGTAGATTTACAAAGGTGAAAGGCTCCTACCGGGGTGTTAATGATGTGGAAGAGCAAGGTAGTTTTGCAGGCGAATAGAACTGGATTCAAGTCCCAATTGTGCCTCTCACTTCGTGGTAGCTGTGGTCTGGTTATTTAACCTTCCACTGTCTCCGTAAAATGCACATTATAACACTCACAGCATGAGCCTCTTGTGAACCCATAATGATAACAGTAGCAAAAACAATGATAACAACAACAGAAAATAGCACTGGATACTGTTTTAAGTTCTCTCTTTACATTTTTAGTGCCTGGTAGGACCAGATGATCTGCACCAGAGATTTGCTCTAGCTTTTAGGCAGACAGCCTCTGTAAAAGAGAAATGTATAGAAAGCGCTTACCACAGCATTCTCCAGTTATTTTTACAATTAACATATATAAGATTTATAATCAGAAAAAAAAAAAAATAATAATGCATGACTGCTAACCAAAAGGCTGGTGGTTCAAACCCACTAGCCACTCCTTGGAAGGAAGGTTGGGCAATCTACTTCCGTAGTGATACCACCTCGGAAACCCAAGGATGGGTCGCTATAAGTCGGGTCCAACTCGACGGCACATAACAACAACATAGTTGGTGTAGTGCCTAAGGCATTTGACTGCTAACCAGAAGGCTGGTGGTTCAAACACACCAGCCACTCCTAGGAAAGAAGATTGAGCAATTACTTCCATAGAGCTACCTCCTCAGAAACCCAAGGAGGGGTCGCTGTGAGTCAGAAATGACTGGACAGCAGTTCATCATCATCATCATCATCATCATCATCAATATGAAGTTTGCTCATTTAACCTTCATGACCACCCCAGGAAGCAGAGAAGGGTATTGTCCAGACCTGACCAGCCCTTCAGCTGGTAAAGGTAGAGCCAGACTCAAACCAGACAGCTTGGTTCTGGAAACTGCTTGGGACCACTGCACAAAACAGCATGTATCAATCATCTAGTCTACATGCTTAGTCTTAGACTTTTCCATGGATGAAAGAAAGCAGAGGCCACATCCATTATTCTAGGGCACTTGGAAATACTTGTTGGAGCATGGCATTGAAGCTGGACCAAATGTGGGTTGAAATTCCAGCTTCTGCTCTTCACAGATTGGTGAGTTTGAGTACACCTGATGTTGCTTCTTTCCTTGGAGAGTTACTATGAAGATGAGGTTAGATGGCATGTGTAAGCCTCCTTTGCAGGCCTGGTTCATCGTACTGCCCTGTTGGGTCTAGGGCATGATTGGGAGATTGAGGAGTGACACTGGGTGTTCTATTTACAGGTCCCACCAGGCATCCTGTTTAGAAATATTTATTGAATGTCCACTGTGCACTAGGTACTGTGATACATATTGTTGATCTAATAATGAACAAGTATAGTGTCTGCTCTAGTGGAGCTCAAACTTAGAGATGGAGAAAAACAATTAAACAGGAAATTATGATACAGTGAAATAATGGGAGTTCTGGGTGCTAAGTGAACACATAACAAGGGCACAGACACCTAAGTAGGCCTGGGAAACTGGTGGAAAGCTGTTCAGGAATACTTCCTAGAGGAACTGATCCATAGGCCAAGGAAGATATTCCAGGTGGAACAGCATGCACAAAGGCCCAGAAGCAAGAAAACATTTGGTACATTCAGAGAGACCAAAGAAGTTCACTGTGGCTGGGCATGAAATTGGGGCAGTGGGTAGGGTGAAAAGCCAGGGCATATTATGGGTCTTCAACTTAGCTGAACTTCTCATAGCTTTCACCTCAGTCAATTTCCTTTTCCTTCTTGAAATGCATCCCTTCTTGCTTCAGAGACACCACTCTATCCTCATTTACCTCCTTCTTTCCTTCTTTATATTTTCTTCTCAATTTTCTTTGGATTTTCTCCTCCTTAGCATGATTCCCAAATGGTGAGGTTTCTCAGAGTATCATCCTGGACCACTTGTCTTCTTCTTAAGCTCTCTTTTTAGGGAATCTCATCAGTCCCCATGGATTTACATACTATCAAGGTTGATGATTTCCAGAATTTATATCTCTGGTCTATATTTCTGCAAGTTCCAACTGGCAGGTCTATTTTGCTTATTTGACATCTTCCTTTGGTTGTCCTACACCTTCTTCAAATTTAGTGTGTCCATGGTACAACTTGTGATTCCAATTTTCTCATCATTGCAAAGCAGCATTTGTTATCTTGTAGGCAGGGATTTGATCTTCACAGTTAGCTAAATTATTTTTAGTGGCTATTCTAGAAGTTTTTGTTTTTTAAAAAAGAAGACCTATTGTTCTGGGAAAGAAAATTTTGTGACACCCACTAGAAATTATTCCCATGCATTTTCTCAATTTATTCTCAGAAAAATCATTTGAAATAGGCATCCATATCCTCTTTCTGAAGATGGTATAATTGAGGAACAGAGAAGTAAAGGAATTTGCCCAGGGTCACATTAATGATAGTCCTAGAATTTGGAACCAGGGAATTTGATTCCAAGCATTATCCTCTTGACTGATTAGCTTAGCACTTTCACATTGCTGCCTCTGGTTCATAAGTCTTTGGCCAGGTAATTATCCTTACAAATTATTATTATTTTTTTTTTAATTGTGATTTGGGTGAAGATTTACAGAGCAAATTCACTTTCCATACAGCAGTTCACATACACTTTGTCTCATGACACTAACCACAGTTTACCACAATGCAACAGCTCCCCTCCCACCTCCTCCCCACAGTTACCTCTTCCCAGTGTCCATCCCTCCATGAACTTCTGCCTCCAAATGACAAAGAGAGAGAATGTTGACTTTCACCAAAAGAAGCACTTGTTTGCCTTGTATGCAAGTGTGTCATAGTTCAGGAGAATATGTTGCATTTAATAAGAATTTATGGAGCACCTGTTGACATTTTGGTGTAGTGGTTAAGGCCATTCAAACCCACCAGCCACTCTGCAGAAAAAAAGATGAAGCAGTCTGCTTCCATAAAGATTTAAAGATTTACAGCCTTAGAAACACAATGGGGTTCACTATGAGTCATAATCAACTTGACGGCAGTGAGTTTGGTTTGGTTTTTGGTTGTTGGAGTTCTAGAGGACAGTGCAAAGCACTCCTCTCTTCCTCTGAGGGAAGAAGTCTGAACCAACTGAAAGACACAACAGGATCAGAAAGCTGGTGATCAAAATATTGACTCTACTGCGATTAGAGCTGACTTAGAAAATGCATATTTGGTCTGCTGAGCATGCGAGCTTCTTTTCATATATTTGCCCTGAACTGAGCTCACCCAACCAGCACTGGCAGAGCCTGGTGGCTCAGGCCTCACCCCACCCCAGTATCCCAGCAGGCTGCTTCTGGAGTGACAGAAAAAGTGTATCTTGTGGAAAACACATCTTGAAGGGGATGGCTGGACTGAGTTGTGCATCTTCGACTCCTTCCCCAGCTAAGTCACTCCTTCTCAAAGGAAGAGCAGGTCACATGAGGCAAGATGTTTTCTTCCTTACTTCCTACTTCTAAAAGAGTAGATTTAAAGTATGTTTCCCTGAATGGAAGCAAAAGAAATGAGGAGAGGGTATTCCCTCCTCAAGTAATCATAATAACCACCACCATTTATTGAATGCTTAGTATGTGCCAGACACTGTACTTGAGATTTTGCCTACATTAAATGATGAAAACATCATAATGACCCTGTGGGGTAGATACACTTATTCCCATTTTACAGATGAGGAAACTGAGGCTCAGAGAGGTTAAATGACTTGCTTCAGGGCAAGCAACCACTAAGTAGAGATCTCAGGTCAAACTCAGCTCTATGTGAGTCCAAATTCCATGCTCTCTAAGCAGCATTTGCAAGGTTCAATGCCAGCAATGAGGAGAGAGGGATTGGAGATAATAGATTGAGGCACAATTGCTGTCCACAAGGAGTTGGCAAAATGCTAAACATTTTAGGCTTTGCAGACCATATGATCTCTATTACAACTGCTTATCTCTGCTGTATCAGTATAAAAGCAGCCACAAACAATATGTATGCCAATGAGTATGCCTTGTTCCAATAAAACTTTATTTTTGGATACCAAAATTTGAATTTTATAGAATTTTCATGTCACAAATATTTTTCTTCTTCTTCCTCCCCCCAACCATTTAAAAACACAAAAAACATTCTTAGTCTGTGGGCCAGACGAAAACAGCCAGCCAGCCAAGTTTGGTCCATGGGCCACATCTTTTCAACCCCTGATCTAGTCAGTAAGAGAAACCAATGAATACAAACTAGCACATCATGAAGTTATAAATTCTACAAGAAGGGTATGGACTTTGCCACCTCTGAGAGGGCTGAGATGGCAACAATTTATTTTGAAGAAGGAGGAAGGCTTGAAAGGAGCAAAATAGGAGCCTGAGTATTCAACTAGGCTGTGTTGGCTTCCCAACTTCATTTCCCAAAGTAAGCAACAGTCTACCATTTCCTTTAGAAATGAAGTATTAAATGAGAGGTGGGAAAAGAAATCAATTTAGGCAATAACAAGAACAGCTAATGGTGGTTCGGGACTGTATTACAGCCGCCTAATTAAAATGATTTATAACCACACAGAAAGGCTCTTGTGTTTCCCCTGTTTATTGAATAACAGCTCACATCAGCCATTACTCCACATACAACTCATGGAAAATTACCTAATGGATTCTGTTCAAGGAACATCATCAAACAAGAGTGTGTCACTTTCCCGGCACCGTTCTTTGTGTGCCACCCAAGATATGTTACAGGTTTGAGTTGAGGGACACAGGTTAAGTGGAGTTGTAGAGGTTTGGTCTCCTATCAGCAATTATAGGATCCCCTGAGCTTTGGTCTTCCTCCTTCTGCATCTCCCAACCCTGGGAGAGGAGAAGGCAGTCTGACACACTGCAGGCTAGCATCCAGCATATAGAACTCTCCTGCTGACTTCTGGAAGACATCCTAGTCTTGCTGCAGTGGGGAGTAAACCTCCAGTCCAGAGCACTCTGGAAGGTTTAAAGTC